GCCTAGAGCAGCCTTCCGCACAGGAGGATGTGACGTTGCGCTGGCTTCACAGGTAACAAAACTCCCATCCTGTGGACACTGAAGACGCGGAGCGCTCCCTTTCTTGGTGTGGGAGGGGTCCTGTTTTCTTTTTATGTGCACAAAATTTGGGACTACAGTCTTTTGACCATTCTCTTAAAACCATAATGGAATCTTCTCAGGAAAAATACCCAGCCTGGATCAGTTCAGGTTTCTCCAAATGAAAGCAATAAAATTACCAAGGCCTGCTGGGTCCACGTGGAGCCTCGTGAGGGGGCCACCAAGGGCTCTGGGGGGGATGGCTCCCGCTTCTCACCCAGGAAGTGCATCCCTCCCCTCTCCTTAGAGGTTCCACCCCACCAAGCCACTCTCAGGACTTTCAGAAGAACCCAGATCTTGGCTTTAACAGCACCTGAGTAACGGCCTCCCTGTGAACTTGAGGAAAGGCCCTGGCCAGTTTGCTCAGAAGTCCTGGCCATCTCAGGCAGTCTGTGGCTCTCCTGAAGCTCGAGAGCGGTCCTTTGCCCTTAGGTCCTCGTGTCCTTGGGTTTGTGCTTGGTCCATGTTTTGAAGTATCAGAGACACACGGGAGATATATTTACAAAGGCTTTGCTGTGTGGGAAAGTGGTTGATTTAAATATTGAAGTTTTAAAATGCTGAATAAAAAGTTGCATATACAATCTGCCTCAGCCACGTTGAGTGTGGGGACAGCGGCAGTCTGCCAGGAGGTGTGAGGGCAGGCTCAGCTTCTCCCTCCTCACTCTCTGAATCACGCAGTTTCCAGGCTCCAGCCGCTGACGCATCTCCCCTGGTTGCTGCAGGTGTGTCTGGTGCCTGAGAGCTCCTCACCAGGCTCACTGGTGCTGCTTTGGCTCCTCATCCCAGTGGCCATGTTTGACCTTCATTCAGGCCATGTTTGACCTCCTGATCTCCCCTTCTCTGCATGGCCCACTCCCATGTGCACACGAAGCCTTGCTGCAGGTGGGCTTGTGCAAAGCCAGCAAGGTCTGTGTGGACCTGCTCAGACTGACCGAGACCCAATGTGGGCACCACTGGTCTGACACACACCCACCTCCGTCCCGGCTCCATCACCTGTCTACACAGCTGTCTGTAAGGGATACTTTTATAACCAGAGAAGAAAAATAATATTGTGACTTTGAGGGGAAAAACACATTATATAGCATCAACATTAAAAGAAAATGATCAGACATTCTGAACCTGCTGTTGGAAAAGTACATTAGCCCTTGTGAAACAGTCATGTGAAATCAAGTTGGACCTGAATTAAGCAAAGCCTCTAGATCCAACCATGCACAGGAAGGGTAGAGGACTGGGGAACACAGAGACGTAACTATCAATATCCCTCATCAGCAGAACAGCAGAGGGAGAATCAGTAAGGCAGGCAACCCAGCTCTGCCACAGATAAATCAAAGATAAAAGTAAACAGGATTAAGGAAGAACCTAGAGACACAAGACAAGAAAGACACACAAATCAATTGCAAAGTTCAGGCTTTATTTGGATTTTGCTTTAATAAGCAGAATGTTTATAACACTATTAGGAATTCAGATTCTGAATATTTAGTGATGTTAAAAAAAGTATACTTGATGTTTTAGGAGTCATCGTGATATTGTGATTATGTTAAACAACAAAGAACTTTTATCTTTTAGAGACACTGAAATATTTCCATCTGTAATTTGCTTTAAGTTGCCTCATGCCTAAGGACATACACTGACACTTGTTGGAGTTGAGAGGAGGGAATGTGAAGGTCCTGTATTTTGAATATGTTTGGAGCTTTCTGTTTAATAAAAGAGAACGGACACACTGCTCTGAGCTGGGTTATTTCCAAGTTCAGGAAGCCCAAAAGCCAGGGAAGGGGAGAGAATGGCAGATCCCTCAGTAAGATGGGAGGAGCAAGTGGGATCAGGACAGATTTGGGGGCAGAAATGGTTCCTCTGTGGAAATTGTAGTTGAAAAGCATACGCAGGTGCAGACCGCAGCTCTGAAGCCGTGCCAGCCACACACTGAGCCATTAGAGACCCGACCTCCACTCCTGGGGCCAGGACACATCTGTGCCCTCACTGTGGTTCTCTCTGCCAACCCCCCAGCTGGTCCGTGGGGAACTGGAGCACCTGCAGCCGGACGTGTGGTGGGGGCACTCAGAGCCGGCCTGTGCGGTGCACACAGCGGGCGAACTACAAGACGGAGACTGTCCTGGCCAGCCTGTGTCCACAGCCTGTGCCCTCCAGCCGGCAGGCCTGCAACTCTCAGAGCTGCCCACCCGCATGGAGCGCCGGGCCCTGGGCAGAGGTAACTGGGAGGGGTGGCCAGGAGGCAGTGGATGGCCCTCCCCTTGGAACGCAGGGCCTGCAGCGGGGGCCCCAGCACTGTCTGTTTCCTTTGCCTCCTTTGCCGGGGGCTGACCGTCGGCTCTTGTGCACAGTGCTCCCAAACCTGCGGAAAGGGGTGGAGGAAGAGGGCCGTGGCCTGCAAGAGCACCAACCCCTCAGCCAGAGCACAGCTGCTGCCCGATGCCACCTGCACCGCGGAGCCCAAGCCCAGGACTCACGAGCCCTGCCTGCTGAGGCGCTGCCACAAGCACAAGAAGCTGCAGTGGCTGGTGTCCGCCTGGTCCAAGGTAGGCCTCCCAGTCCTCAGGAACAGCCCCACCTGTCACCTCCTGGGCCGCCCTCCTCTCCTGCTTCCCTGCTTCCTGCTCCCCTTCCTTCACCTGGCTTCTTGCACTGCCCAAGTCCTGAATCTCCTAGCCCCTCTCCAAGGCCCTCCCTGGGCTCAGGTCTACTCCTTAAGTCATGTCCCTGAGCATCACCTCCAGGGACATCCATGCCGCCCCACTCGGTCAGCATCCAGCACAGGAGTGTGAGAACAGGGCACGAGCGTGAGTACAGGGGACCCTCCTCGTGGTGAAAGGGGGTCCCAGAACCTCCCCTAACTCCAGAACAGTTGCAACCATTTCTAGGAGATGCTCCCCCAGGGCAGAGCAGGAAGAAGCTGGGTCACTTAGGATAAAGAAGTCTCATTTCCCGAGATGTAGGCAGCCTGTATATTCCCAGGGGACGTCTCTGTGTTGAGCGCCCTGGAATTCCCATCCTGTGCTGCCCCCTTCAGGGGCCACCCTAGAGACCATCACAATGGGACCACAGCGAAAGCATGGCTTTGGAGTGTGGAAGCCTTCTTGACCTGCTTTGGCCAAGTGAGCCTAAAGGACCTCAAATACCTTACAACCCACAGAATGGCAGCAGCAGCCCACCAAATGAGCACCCATCCGCATGAGTGTCAAAGGGTCTCCACCTCCCGGGCTGCAGCTCTGCACGTCCATACAGGCAGGCAACAAGCTCCCAGCCGTCCCTGTCTCACACTCCTCGGGGTCGGACACGGGTCCCTCTAGGTGTCTCATTTCCCCATGCTCCTTCAGAAATGCCTTGTTCAGAATGGAAAGCGCCAAGCAGGGTCTTTAATCCTGCTGTTTGCCACTAGAAACTAGAAAGGTCATGCTTGCTCACTGGAGCAAGCTGGTCATTGCTAATGAGGAGCGCTAGGCTCTCTTTCACCCAGGCACAGGATTGATCGAGTGTCTCCGGACAGAATCCTACGTAATGAGAAAAAATATGTTGGCTGTGCATGCTCTTGGAGCCTAATGGTGGAGCGAGCAGCTTGGGTTGTGCAGGTTGTGGGCTGGGTCCAGACAGAAAACCCTTGGCCAGAAACGGAATATGCACCGGCGAGCGTACACACACACACACACACACACACTCACATACACACCCCAGAGCTTCTCTCTGAGGCATGGTCCACTAAACAACCTAAATGATTATTTCAGTGCAATCTCTGTTGTGACATCAGGACACACAGAAGACACTCCTGCGAGGTGAAAGTTGGGAGTGTGAGGTCAGAACTGGGCAGGTGTTGCCACCTGGTCCCCTCTGCTTAGGCCACCAGCTAGCAGTTCAGCCCTGCGGTCCTTGGGCTTCTCAGGTTCACCCACTGTCCCCCAGCCCAAGTCACCAACACTGGGGACCAGGCTTCCTCTCAGAGCCCCTGGCCTGGCTGGGGGAAAGCAGCATGTCTTGTTCTTGCCTGACAGGTGGCTGCAGACTTCTGCCCAATGTGCTGTTTGCCCAGGGTCTCTCTGCGCCTTCAGGCTGCTGGTGGCAGGCACAGCCCAGGCTTAGTGCATACCTTGGAGGGAGCAAAGAGATGTGCTTGCTCTCTCCATTCATGCTGCTGTCTTCACGGGCAGCACCCCGTTTTCTGGGGAAGATCTGTGAGCCCTTGGCTGCTTCTACCTGTCTCTGCTTCAGGGACCCCCAGCATGCCTGAAGTTGGGTGGCTGAATCAATCCGTGGGTCTGTGTCGTTGATCTCATGTCCTTTGTGTATAAAATTTCTCTACGTCTTAATCAGTGAGAGCCCAATGTTCTAACCTTTCAGAGAAACAGTAGCTTCAGAATCATTCCTACAGTGGTTCCTGACTGCCCTGCCCCTGCTTATGATCAGGTACCACGGTGACCTCAAGATCCTCCTTGTGAAAGTGATGGATCCATCATGCCTTTCAGAATGCCAAGGCCCAATAACTGCCACCAAATGTCTATATTCACATAAATTTTCAAGCTAATATCGTGAGAAGACATGACAACCGCTGATTTTGAAAAAAGGAAAAAAAAAAAGCTGTCTTTTGCTTCCTCTTTCAGTGCTCTGCGACATGTGAGAGGGGGACCCAGAAGCGATTCCTAAAATGTGCTGAGAAGTACGTCTCGGGGAAGTACCGGGAGCTGGCCTCCAGGAAGTGCTTGCACGTGCCAAAGCCCGACCTGGAGCTGGCGCGCCCCTGTGCGCTGTTCCCGTGCCCAGCGTACCCCCTACAGGCTGCCGCAGGGCCCCCACGGGGCAGCTGGGTTGCCTCGCCCTGGTCCCAGGTAAGAGGCTCTGAGCATCCAGGTGGGGGAGCAGCACAGCTCCCGGCCCCAGGATCTGGTGGCCTGTGGGAGGTGTCGGGGGCTCTCTGCAGAGGTGTGCTGCCCGAGCCCACCTGGCCACCCCATGACCTTCTCTCCAGCATGTGCAGGTGGCCCCTTTCCTGGGCGTTTCGTTCTGAGGAGGGACTCCGAATGTCACTCAGCCCTACAGGCCCCGCGGGTATTGTTCTGAATTTCTGTCCCATTAAGTGTAAAGAAATGTGATGGTTTTGGTCACAGCTGGGCAGGATTTCTCAGAGAGGGGTGTGGATGGGAAGAAATGTGTCACCAGCTGTCAGCTGTAGAGAGGCCATTGACGCTCTGGGAACACAGTGGCCTGCCTGGGCCCGGGGAGCTGGCTGGCCTCCGCTGAGTGCCCACCGTTTTCCCTCGGGGTTTCTCTCATGCCGTCCTCCTCCTCTTCCCACACGTCCTCCACTCTAAGGAAGAACTCGGCCGAGACTGTCCTACCCCCATCCCTCATCCTGTTTCCTGCTTGGGTTCCCAGCAGCCTCAGCTCTCAGGGTCTGTGGTCCTGCTTCCCAGGCCCTTGGTTTCTGGATCCCCTCTTGTCTGGAACCACGCTTAGCTCCTCTCCCGCCTGCTGGGATTCCTGCCACAGGCCAGGAGGACGCAGCCCATGGGTGCTGGGGCCCTGCATGCAACCCCTGCTCCACTGGCCAGCAGTCTAGCCTCGCCTCTGTCCAGCTCAGGGCCATTTTCCTTTTGTGACTGTCTGGTTGGCTGGCAGCAGAGTGAGCCGTGGGCTCTTACAGAAACACCTCCGTCCCTGGCCAGTGTCCCAAAGCTTGTCAGTTACATTGCTCCAACATACCCGAGGTAAAGTCCCAAGTTTATCAGATGCACAGGGGCATCAGGCCGCCCCACCCAGGGCTTTCCTGCAGCCCCAGCTGGTGCCCTTGTGGATTCCAGCACCCTACCCCAGGGAGCACGGGCTGGGATCTGTGCCACGTCACTTCCAGAAGGACCTTCCAGGGTTCAGGTCTCTCTCCAAGATGTTTCTCAAATGGTCTTTCCAGTGCCTGGTGCCAGAGAATGGTCTTCCCCTGGTCCAACTCCTGCCACTGCCCACAAAGGGGACCTGCTGGGACAGTAACCAAGCACCCCTCTCCCACTTTGTCCTCTCACTGTCCTTGTGCCAGCCTGTCCCAGGAGCCTGCATCACAGCGAGTGTTACTCTGGGCTCCCAGCGTCAGTAAGGGAGGGTGCCCAGGGAGGGTGCGGCCCCCTTGAGGAAGTGTGCACCCCCCCCCCAGCTCCCCAGGCCTGATAAATGAAGTGTGGACACAGCACAGCTGCCGTCTGGAACCTCCCAGGTGCCCGCCCCTCCCACCTGGAGCCTCATGCAGCTGCTACAGGCCCAGGCAGGGGAGATCCCTGCAGATCACCATGGGGACGATGTTTAGCCACAGGTCACAGGTGGAAGCATCTGCTAGGTGTTTTACACATATGTTCTATGTACTGCTCCTGCACTCGTATGAACACCACATGCACACATATCCACGTATGTACATGCTGTGCACGTGCTGTACTGTGCTTAGCACTGCACCCAGCCCACGCTCAGGGAATGCTTGATGAGTGGGTGGATTTGCAGGGAAACGAGTCCAATGAGTGCACTGGGGCAGCTGCTTCAGGTCTTGCTGGAGAGCCCACTCCTCATAGGGGAGGGGTGCCCTTGTCTTGAGGTTCATTTTCATTGTCTGCCAGCGTGGCAGGCTCTGCCAAGGGACCCACTCGTAGCTCCTCATCCCTGATAGCCAAAGACAATGCCAGCTTGCCTGCCGGTGTGTCCCCCCAGATTCCCAGGATTGAGCTGGAGAGCAGGCTGGTGGGGTCCGGAGGTCCAGGCTGACCCCGTGCATGTGCATGTCAGGTGCATGAGGAGAACTCCTGGAGAAAGCAAACCAAGGCAGCCACTGACTCATCAAAAGTCACCCACAGTTCACATCCCGCCAGGCACCATGTCCCCAGGCCTGTAGACTCCAGTAACCAAGTTGATCTGAGTATGTTTGAAGGATTGAAGAATTGTGATTGGACCCACTGGGCAAGGCCACAGAGCCCACTCCACAGGCCAGGTGGTACTTGCCTACACAACCCGTCCTGAGAAGGAAATCCGTTTCCATGGGGTCAGGGGCTCACTGAGCAGGTGGCCAGGGGTGAGGTCCAAGAATGGACAGAGCCTTGAGCTGAGCAGCCCACTGTGTCTCACATGCTTAGCCAGCCTGGGGTCTGGTTCCCTGACAGTGACCGGCTCTCCCCAACCTGGTTCTCTCCTTAGGCTGACTTTATCCTCCCCATGGTGGGGGGCACACAGGCTGCACTGCCCACCGTGAGTCCCTTTCCTGTCAGCCTGCCACTGGGCATGACCTTCTCAAGGGGAAGTGCCCTGTGCCCCAAGAGCAGTGTCCTGCTTTAAATCATGTTCCCAAAACTCATGTTCACCCAGAAATTCAGGAGGTGATCTCATTTGGAAATAGATGCAGGTGACATTAGTTAGGGTGAGGACACCTGGAATTAGGTTGGGAACTGCTACTATGAGATGGTCCCATGAGCACAGAGACTCATGGGGGAGGGGACATGAGATGAGGGAGAGGCAGAGACAAGGTGACAGGTGGCCAGCACCACCAGACTCCAGGCAAGGGGTGAGAGGATCCCCTCTGAACCCCAGAAGAACCGCCTCTGTGCCGACACCTCGACTCTGGACCTGTGGCCCCCAGAACATGTGAAATGAGGATAAGTTTCTGCAGGTCCAGCACACAGGCAGAGGTCTAGCACAGCAGCCCCAGGGAGCTAAGACATGTAGGGCATTCCTTGCCCCACGGGGTCTCCTCCTGGCCCCCAGAGGGTGAGCTGCCATGGGCTATGGCTGTCTTCCTCAGCTCCATGTCCTTCCTGGCCCCAGCCGGGCATTGGGCCCATGGGCGTGTGAAGAGGATGCCTCTGTTCTGGACGCCGCAGCTCCTCCTTCACCTGCTTCTCCAGAAGGTCAGGTGCAGTCAAGGCCTCCAGGTGCCCTGCTGTGCAGTCCAGCTGCCAGGACAGCTGAGGTGATGGCCCACTGGTGCCTTCTCTCTAGGTTCTCCTGATCCCCCCAAACCAGGGCAACGGCCTGCACCCACCCACCCACTGCTGCCTTCTGTTGGCAGCTGGTGCGTAGCATCCTCTCTCTTAAACCCAGCCCTGCACGGGAAACCGAGATGAACCAAGGAATTTGACAGAAATGAAAACACACTTTGGCCAGGCACCGTGGCGCATGCCTGTAATCCCAGGGGCTCAGGAGACTCAGGCAGGAGGATCACGAGTTCAAGGCCAACCTCAGCAATTTAGTGAGGCCCTAAGCAACTTAGTGAGACCTTGTCTCTAAATAAAATATAAAAAGGGCTGGGGTGTGACTGTAGTTAAATGCCCTTGACTTCAATCCCCAGTACCAAAAACAAAAACCACACACACACACACACACACACACACACACACACACACACACCTTTGTTTGTATTTTACTGAAGCCCAAAGAAAACAGACATCTTCACAGAACCAACTAAGTCCATCATGGAATGCTTTTCAGAATTAGATAAAAGCTCATTAGAATAATAACAGTTTAAAATCCCCCACACGATGCCATACTTCACCCCACTGATGCTCTGGGTATGCAGGTATGACGAGCCCAGGTCTGGTCCTCACCAGGGAAGGATACTGAGGCTCCTAAGGTGAGTCCCGCCCCCAACTCCAGCTGTTAACCCCGACTGCTCAGCACGGAGCCGGCCAGCACATTTAGAAAGAGTAAAACAAGGTTTACTAATAGTTAACTCAAACCCAAACCTAAAACCAAAAGGACATCTTCCATCGTTTTTGCAAGTCTGAAGAATCCCGTCTGGTTGTCTGATATATGATTTTTACCACCAGCTGACTAAAGTCTCCATCCACTGTGCCTCATCCACTGTTAGGAGACTGCAGCTGTTTTTGGAAAGGTGATAAGGAGCTAGGTTTGCCGTGAGCCCTTGTACCCATGGCTGTGCCCTCAAACTGGGACGTTGCCAGTGAGGTGAATGGCCCGTGACCACTGAGCTCTGCCTCCAGACAGGCTTATTCCTTTAGAAATTGAAGGTCCTTGTTCCTGGTCTGCTCTGTGGGGCTTCTGCAGATCTAATGGTTTTGCTTATCCCCACATTTTACGGTAGGCGTGGTGAAGCACTGGCCCAGATCATTTGAGTCATGTGGGCTTAATCAGGTGGTTCCCACACTGTTTGGTCTGGGAACAGCTTAAGCGGGATCACCTGTTGGACTGTGTTGCTCCACATGACAGAGATGAATGTGGCCCTGCTGAGTGGGCGGGGGCCCCAGCTGTCTCTCTGGGAGCCCTTTACCAGGACTGTGCACAGATTGACGGAGGAGCACGCTGCACTGTGAGGAGTGAGCAGCCGTGTCACAGACGGAGCGCTGGGTTTTTCACCCTGGTAACTGTGGCTCTGATGCCGTTCCAAATGCCAGCCTCTAACAAGGGCACCCGCACCCTCGTCCTCACAGCTGCCAGTGTGGCCAGGACCGGGCGAGAACAGCTCACCACCACTGACGGGCCGTGGTACACTTCCTGAGTTCAAGGAGTTGGGCTTGTGACGGACTGAATTGGCACAACAGCTACAGCCCAAAGCTCCTCAACTCAGGTTTGCAGCATAAGCCACCAGAAGCTGCCCTGGGTCAGGCCACTGAGACCTGCCTGGTTCCATTCTCAGTCGAGTTGGCATTTTGTCTCTGGAAGAGAGGGACAAGTTACAGTGCAAAGAAGCTCTAGAGTTGAAGGCGGAGAATGCATGGAGGCCCAGCAGAAAACGGCCCATCAAAGGAGAAATGGAGTGGGACCTCTCAGTGGAGACACGACAGGCGGGCGATGAAAGCCAGAAACCTGTGGCCTTGGAAGTGGGCAAGTACTCAGGTATTCACTGTCCCCTGTGCTTGGGGGACAATCTGTCCCATGCGAGAAGCCCCATGATCTCAATGTGTCCTCTGAGTGACAAGGCAGGGCAGTCAGAACACCAGGCGCCATTGGAGACGGGCAGTCACCATGTCCCATGGCATTTTTCCACAAAGCCCAATGGCCTAGAAAAGAAGTATTTCTCTCATTTAAAAACAAAAAAGCGCTAGAAGCAAACATTATTATTTGCTTTTCTTTGGTTTATCTTACTAATGACTGAGAGTAACCATCTTTCCCACTCACCTCATTGTGTTGCCTCCCAAAGTGAGCCGCTGGTCTCTCTAAAATCAGACATCAGATCACTAGTGACACGGGAGACTCTGGTGTCTTAGACTCTCAGAAGGGAGAGAATCGGGCTCTTCACCAATTTGAATAATGTGTTCTCAGGACATGTCTTATGTCGGACCCACTGGAGGGTGCGGACATGAGATCCAACCTGGATCTGCAGCATTTTTCTGATAACAGCAAGGTGGTCTTTCTGATAACCAGCAAGGTGGTCTCCCAGCCAAGGAATGAATGTCATCCCAAGGCAGCTGACTCCATACTGGAAATGCCAGAAGACGCTCACTGCTGGTGCCTGAGAAGGACTGTCCCCCTGATACTGCAGTGACTCTTCCACATCTCTGTCCATCTTCCCAGCTGGACAGAGTCTTGGCAATTGGGAGTCTTGGGCTCACTGCAATGGCTTCAGGCTGGGCAGGGTGGAGGTCAACAGGAAAGGAGGCAAGGAGAGGCTCTCTGGGTGCAGGAAGGTGCCAGCTCTGTGAGATGCTGCCCATCCCTGGCAGAGCCCACTGGAGTGCAGGGTGGTCCTGCTCTGTATCCTCACCCCACCACCACATCTCACAACCAGGCCAGGGTGCGCTCACCCGTCAACAGCCCAGTCCTGTTGGGGAGCCTCCATACCAGTAGGAGAAGTGGACCTTAAAGAATGTCCACACTGATCCTGCAGAGCTGCTGGGACTTGGGGCTGTACTGTGTTGCGGGGGGGGGGAGTTTTGTGCACAGAAGGATTCATTTAAATAAGGGGCCACAGGGTCTTCTCCAAGGCTACAACTGGCCGGAGTGAGAAGCAGCCCATTGAGACTGAGGGATGATGGCGTTTGCAAAGGCCACACTTTGGAAAAAGCCTCCATCTTTTATTTATTTTTTTATTTTTTCTGTCTTCTACTATTTTTGTATTAGTTGCTCAAAACAATACAATGATCTTGAGCCTTCATCTTTTTAAAGGGTGATCTGGTTCAGCATTCACAGTCAGAACACTTTGACTCTGTGGACCCTTTCTGTTAGAGGTCGAGGTAGCTGAGGTCACTTCTGAAAACTATAAAAGGGAACAGCACAGCCAGTGGAACTGAAAACCTGGGGCAGCAGCTCCCCCAGCGTGTCCCCACTTGTAGCCACAGTGACATTGTTAGAATACAGGTTTCCAGATGCCTCCCACACCAGCCCAAGTTCAGGTTTTTGTTGGGGACCCAGCAGTCTATTTAACAGGTCCTCCAGGTGATTCCATGCACATTCAAAAGTGAGAACTGTGGTCTGGGGAAGGAGCCAACAATTGGCCCTGGGTGGGGGTTGGATGAGCAGGTCACTGTGACTGAGCAGCATGGAGGCCTATCTGGGCCATCGGCAGGAGGCTCAGGTGAGTCTCATGAAGCTGGGGGAGGAAGCCGAAGCTTTAGCCTCCAGGTCCAGGGTCCAGACTGTCTTCTCACTGAGACTTATTTTCCCCGTGGTGCTGTTTCAGTGACTTGCCCGCCCGTCTTGTCCAACCGTGGCCTCCTGGTCTCTTCCTGTCCCTGCCTGGCCCACAGGTCTCCACCCCTGGAGTTCACTTGGTGGTCAAGGGGTCCAGGTGCTTCTTAGCTGAGTTTGCCTGGGAACCAGAGGCTGCCCGACTCAGCGGACAGTCTGGAATGGGAGTTCTAAACACCCTGCCGAGTTCTGAGCCACCGTGTCAGTGCTGTGGACAAACAACTTGCATTTTTTTCCTTCCTGGAGAGAAATGAACACACATCTTCAAGTCTCTTATTTCCCTTCCATCTCCTTGTATAATAATGTCTTTATTGATTCAAAGCATTCTTTTCAAAATATTTTCAGAGTTTGGAGCTTTGCATCTTAGTTCCTCCAGTTTACATGAAGAGATGCAAATTTTGAGGAATTTAGAGGCTGTTTATCCCACAAGTATGTTTTCCCTGGGGAACTTTAAACCTTTCTAGACCAAGGCTTCTCATGCTTACTGTGTGTCTGAATCATCAGAGCCCGGTGCAGATTCCCATCTAGCTAGTGGGGAAGCAAGGATGCCAAGAGTCAGCACCACCTCAAGGTCCCGGCTGTTCACCGCTGCACCAAAGACGTGTCAAGAATTGGGTTTTAAAGCACCCTGAGGCCAGGGCCAGTCGCTGTGCTCATCACTGAGTATCTGCCGCCTAGAATAATACCTGGTACAGAAGAGATGAGTGATCAATATTTGTTGAGTAAGAGAATCAATGACAAAAATGAATCAAACCAGATATTAATTATTTTATGACTGATGAAAGTCTCTGGAGAGCTCTCTTGATCACTAAGGTGGGCATAATACCCTTAGCAAGAGTAGAATTCTTCCCCAGCTGCTGATTAGGAAAGAAATTCAGCCTGAAGGATGGAATATGTTGTGGACCCCAACAGATGTGGATATGCCCAATGAGACCCTGGGAATGGCCATCTCAGCACAGCACATCCGTGCCCCAAAGCCCTGGGTGCACCCCCGACATGCAGAACACAGAACAGAGGCAGAGCTGTGCTTCCACAGAATGCTCAGAAAGATGTCGTAAGCAACAGGAAACATCTGGCTCTATCGTGGGTGACCCTGATAATTCAGAAACCAGACATGAATCTTCCCGTACCATAATTTGTTCATTTGCCATGGACATATATTGAAACTGAATTATTGGTGACTTTTGCTGAAACTGGGGTTGAAGTGAGGGCTAAGCCTCCGAGAAATGCTCCAGACAGAGGCCCAGGGCCTGCTCTGCCTTATCCAGAGAGCAGACAGCGAATGACCCCTTCACCTTAGAGTCACAGTGTTCCCTCTTCTCCCTTCCCGAGGGTATAGGAAGAGGTTTTACTTGCTCCATCACCTGGTTGCTCTTCCAGGGGACTTAAGGTCACTTTGAAAGTGCTGATTGCAGCAGATCCTAGAGAGAGGCAAAGAAAGCTGGGCCTCAGGTTGGCTGCTCCTGTGGGCTGGTGCCAGCCATGGAGAGCCCCCACAGCCTCTCCCGTGACTGGCTGCAGCGGGACTCCAGGACGTGGTCTTCAAGGTTTGGGCGAGCAGTGTTGGTCATGAATGTCCCCAGGTTTGCACAGCGTGATCCCTTCAAGCTAAGCACCCACTTAGTTTGGCACCACACACCCGGGGTTTTGACCCCTGATCCTGGCCATCTTCTGCAGGTACTTCTTTCATGGCTTAACCATTGACACTGTTGAGCTGGTAGCCTCGTTGGAGCGGCTCGTACGTGATTTAGTCTAGACTTGTGTAGTGGCCTTTTGAGGTGGATTAATCACAATGGTCCAGGTTCCGCTGCCTCTCTAGTCACTTACCCCCTGATTTCTTTGCCCCAGTGGATCTTGGATGGGTCCAGTTCACAGTTTGTGGTGTGTGCACCCATCCAGCTGATGAAGGATCATCTACTGGGCACACCCCTTCCTTCTCTGCTTCTGCCCAGAGCCCTGGGATGTGAAGGGCCAGGCACAATGAGCAGTGATCCCTGCAGCTGGCAGAACCACCCAGGCACTGCAGCCGGTGAACCTGGGGTGGAGCAGTGACCAGGAGCTGGCTCATGAAGCCTTTCCCAGTGAGGACCACCTGAAGGGTGGCTGAGTGAGGACATTCCCTGAAGGACTGGTTCTTTTACATCAGACACAGAGAGCAACCTGACATCACCAGAAATGCACCCATTTCCTGCGTTCATCAGACCATCAATGGCTCCCCAAGAACACTCCAGGTTTATGATAACCTTTCCCCTCTGTGATACCTGAAGTTAATCGAGGACCTGGGCAGCAACCACAGTCATAGAGGGAGACCACCTGGGCAAGGGGGATGCTTGGGAGGGGAAGGAAGAGGAACCCTGCATTCCCCAGTGGCCAGGGCTGGTGTAGGCCCTAAGAGTCAGGGGAGAACCAACAGGTAAGAAAGTACCTTTGCCCTGCTTCTGGGTCTGACATCAGCAATTTTCTCTCAAATGCTCAAATAGAAACCAAAGAGGGGAGCCTCTTGTTCTGTAATCAAAGAATAACTCATGGGTAACCTTCTTGGAGGTTGGAACCTAAGTGTATTTTTTTTCTCACTACTGCCTGTTTGAGGAGATAACATGCCAATCCATGAATATCCATTATTATTTGGTATAATTATTTTTACCAAGTGTACTCTGCCCCAGAGTGCCTGATCTCAGGAGTTCCCTCAGGCTGTAGCTGTTGAAACCCCAGCCTGAGTGACCCCAGTCACACCAGGGCTACCTCCCACCTGAGCACCTGGAAGGGTCACCAGCTGGCTCAGAATGCTCCTGCAGGGGCCCAACCCAGTGCCCAGCATGAAGCACTCTTGGAGAGGGGGTGAGCAGGGGCAGTTTGACTGTATTGGGGCTGAGCATCACTTCAGATGCCTTTTATTGACCCTCATCCTCACTAAAGATGTGCTGGCATGCAACAACTGCCTTCTTTGGTGGGTGGGTGCAGTGATGCCAGCCCTGTGCTGGGACCTGGCAGCCTGGTGACCATTCTGTGTTGTTCTCGCAGTGCTCAGCCAGCTGTGGGGGAGGTGTGCAGAGGCGTTCTGTGCAGTGCATGGCAGGGGGCCGGCCAGCCTCCGACTGCTCACCACACCAGAAGCCTGAGTCCTCCCTGGCCTGCAACACTCACTTCTGCACCATCCCAGAGAAGAAAGGTGAGCCTGGATCCCCTCATGTGGGATGGGGGTGTCAGGTCAGGAGTAGTTCCTTGGAAGGCCTGTGGAAGTGGGGGTGTCCACGGCTAGAGAGATCCAGAGTTGGGCCTTCTGTCCATTTTGCCTTTTCTTTTTTGTCACTCCATCCTCCAGTTTTATAATAAAATACTTACAAAGCAGGCCTCTGCCATCCTCATGCCTCCTTAGGAAGACAGGAGCTGTTTGTGATGTAAGTCTGACCTTAAAAGGCATATAATTCCTGACTCTGGCAAGGCTATTTACAATACTTGAAGAAGAAAATTTTAACTAACAGAGCTTTTCACCCTGCATTACACAAAGGTCTCACTTTCTTCTAATGGTCTCAAAACACCACCCCATGCCTGAGGCAGCTGCAGAGCTGGCAATCTGCCATGGTTCCTCTGACAGCAAATGGAACAGGGGATAAGGAATGGGCTCACCCAGAGAAGAAGGCAGTTGGTATTCAGTCCTAGAGAACCCATCATCTTGGGGGATGGGTGATTGGGTGGGTGCATGTAACACAAAAAGAAGAGCAGAATTGTTCCAGAAACTCCCACAGGTCTTGGGAAAAGTAGAAGTTCTACAGGTCTCTGTTAGACCTGAAGAGCTGCCCTCCAATGATAAGTTGCCGTTATTAGCAAGCAGAGGTCTGCCGATGCTGTGCTCAGTGCACTTGGCTAACGTAGAGTGTGCTTGTTTCCAGACACCTTCTGCAAAGACTACTTTCACTGGTGCCACCTGGTGCCTCAGCATGGGATGTGCAGCCACAAATTCTACGGCAAGCAGTGCTGCAAGACTTGCTCCAAGTCCAACCTGTGAGTCGGACCGGCCCACCGCGCAGAGAAGACACTGAGCAGTAGAGGAGTCTCAGCACAGAGTCGCTGTGCCATCCACAGTGGGATGCCTCCAAGGAAGCTTTGGCTGGAACAGGGAACACAGTGCTAGGCCCTTTGACCCAGAGTGCGTGCACAAGTGTTTCGGGGTGAGGCACATGCATACCCGTGCCCATGCAGTGCACAGTCTCCTGTTGGGGTGACCTGTGGGGCCCTGTGGGCTAACCTCTGGCATATCAGGCAGGAGGGCCCACCCTGTGAAGCAGGAGAAGCTCAACCTCATTTACATTCCAGCTAAATCAGTCCAGAGTCAGGCAGAGCTGAGCATGCTGAACACGAAA